CGTACGAGTCCGGATTGTACGCGCGGAAAGTATAACACAGGCTTTAATGTTCAGATGCATACACCAGCTGCTCATTTTGGCAGCTTGATTTTTGCTTGGTGTGTTGGGACAAAATTGACGGTTACCTACAACTTTGGCATTAGAAGCCTGTGTGTATGTCATTACTGCTTCATTTCTCTTTCAGTTTCCGTGTCCATCTCTAAACTGAGATTAGCATTCTACTACGAACAGTAGCTAATAGGGATGTAACGATATTAGCAATATCGCGATATCAAAACTGTCTCAATATTATCGTGGTCACATGACGATGTGAAACGATAGGTCTTCCAGGAAAAATAAAAGTTTTTAAAATATATTTGCTTTAGGCCATTATGTTTTAGCACAGTATCTGTCAAACACAGTATCACACAGTATCTGTCACACCGAAAGCACAATATGCTTAATCCCTTCATCAAGTCTGTTTTTGCTGCATGTTTCAAAGTGAAGCACACACTTGGTTAAGACGATCAGCTCGTGATCTGGTGTTTTCTGCGTCTCAGAACGGCTCCGTTTACACTGAATGAATGCAGTCAACTCATTTACTGCATGTGGTGTGAGTTTAGCGCGCACTTGGGAACGCAGAAAACACCAGATCACGAGCTGATCGTCTTAACCAAGTGTGTGCTTCACTTTGAAACATGCAGCAAAAACAGACTTGATGAAGGGATTAAGCATATTGTGCTTTCGGTGTGACAGATACTGTGTGATACTGTGTTTGACAGATACTGTGCTAAAACATAATGGCCTAAAGCAAATATATTTTAAAAACTTTTATTTTTCCTGGAAGACCTATCGTTTCACATCGTCATGTGACCACGATAATATTGAGACAGTTTTGATATCGCGATATTGCTAATATCGTTACATCCCTATTAGCTACTGTTCGTAGTAGAATGCTAATCTCAGTTTAGAGATGGACACGGAAACTGAAAGAGAAATGAAGCAGTAATGACATACACACAGGCTTCTAATGCCAAAGTTGTAGGTAACCGTCAATTTTGTCCCAACACACCAAGCAAAAATCAAGCTGCCAAAATGAGCAGCTGGTGTATGCATCTGAACATTAAAGCCTGTGTTATACTTTCCGCGCGTACAATCCGGACTCGTACGTGGACATCGCGGATGCGGACTACTTGCAATTATACTACCGAAACTGTCCGCGGAGCGGACGTGTTCCATACATGCGTAGTAGATCGGCTTGAACAATAAACAAACACGTGAACAAAGAATTGCCCAGAGTTATTGCACATCTGGCTGTTTTTATATTGTTTTATCGACAGATTGTACAGGTTCGAGTAGCAACGGGCTTCTTCACACAGCCTGCGCATGCGCAGTAGCGGACAAGTACGCGCGGTCACAAAAAATGGGAGGCACGCGGATGTCCGCTCAGAGCCTCCATGCACACTCTCCGATGACGATTTTTATGTCACGCATACCATAGTGGACCCTAGCGGACTTGGAAAGTATAACACAGGCTTAAGGGTCTGCAGTTTTAAAGAGGACCGGACAGTTTTCGACATAGCAGCATGAAACTGGTGTCTCAATGTCTCTGGTCGGCTGTGGAAAGAGCAAGTGAGGAAGACAAAAGAGGCTCTCTCAGTGGACCAAAGGCTTTGGTTAATAAGACATTCATCAGTGGCCTAAATAGACTGATAGTCCTCATAGTCTGCAGTTGCTAGTCATTACTAAAGACAATGCTCATTTCAATCACAACATCTGCTGATCTAGAAATAATCTGTTATACTTCACGTCTCATTTTAACAGTTTAAGCAGCTGATATATGACTGTTTTGCTTCGAGGACTGCAGTGTGTGTGAAGTTTAGGTGCTGTCCTCCAGGAGCAGGCCAACAGACATTCAGTTGTAACGATCAGCCTAACAGGCTGGGTTACAAAGTTCAAAATGGGGTCAGATTTTACTGAAGTGGGTGTGTCAGATATAGGGAGACATACAAAACGTGCAGTGCTGGGGGTACTTCATGGAGAGGTTTGAGAACAACTGCATTAAAAGAATGACATAAAACAGAAATACGTTTTAGAACTGTGCATTTACAAAGTTCACGGGACTTTAAAACAACACAATAAAACCAGGAAAACTCAGTCTGTTAAAAGCATACAGTTCTCTGCACCATACCCTAAAAACAGTCCAAGAATCCTAGAGTGCTGAAAAAGTCCCAAAGTGAGTCCACCAGTGTATATACAATCCAAAATGAGTGATAATCCACTAGCTTGCAAGTAAATCTGGAAAGGTAAATCCACGGAAAGGAAACTCCACAATCCAGGTGTGTTTGGTAGCTGTTAGTGACCACTTTGTTTGGCATGCTGCTCTCTTTATACAGTTCCTGCTTCCTGTCACATGACAGGCCAAGCATACAATTTTTAAAGACATATACATGTTAAAATGTTAAGAAAAATAAAATGGACTTAAGAAAACATGTAAACCAGTTAAAACTCTATTATAAATAAAATCATTGCGGTAAAACCTGTCTCTTATATGACAGTGTCACATAGTCATTCTGCCGTATATATTTTATGCCCCTTTCTTTCTTTTGTATCAATGTATCGAAATAAAAGCTTTTGTTCTGTACAAAGAAAAAATGTGGACATTTGTTTCATTTAAGAAAAATGTATGCTTGTCTTCAGAAGCTATTGTTCGTAAGAAAAATTAATTTTACTCTTACCGTCATCTTGGCGTTTTTGACAGCGGCTCCATCCTCCGCTAATCGCAGCACATACAGATCCATGTTGTACTCCTTACCGCCTCTCAGACTGAAGCCGAAACCTTTACTCTCCCTCTCCAGATCAACCGAGTAATACTCTGCCTCCTAAACACACAAATACAACCAAATCACTAAACAAACATGGCAACTAGTTCATTTTACAGTCTGTGCACTTACCCAACAGACTACTGAGTAATATAAGCTAACTACTTGGGTCAGGGGTAAGTTTAGGGGCAGGTTCAGGGCTAGTACCTAGTTATTATGTATTAAAGGGGTCATATGATGCGATTTCAATTTTTCCTTTCTCTTTGGAGTGTTACAAGCTCTTGGTGCATAAAGAAGATCTGTAAAGTTGCAAAGACTAAAGTCTCAAATCCAAAGAGATATTCTTTATAAAAGTTAAGAGTCAACCACGCCTACCAAAATAATGTTCTTTTTAGCAGCATCATATGACCCCTTTAAGTACACATATGTACAGGCAAAACAGGACTTTTTGAGAGAGGTGTAAAAACATTTTTTAAAAATTAATTTTTTATGATATATCTGTAAGATGTTTCTCTTAGACAGCACTGTGATCAGATGGAGGCTTTTGCTCTTTAGAAATAGACCTCACATGTTTCTTCTTGCCAAACTTGTGTTGCCTGCATGTACAGTACAGACGGTCATAAACACTGTTTGAAATCAGAAAACACGTGCGATGCTACGCCTCCACACATCTAACACACCAAATCAAACGTTGAGTTTGTGCAATCTGGGAACCACAACAATGGAATTCACAAACAATATATGTTACATTGTCATTTGCTAACAAAAAAATTGTTCAACCTGATTTTTATGCCAAATGATGTGCTCTCAATCATGTTAAATTGTTGATATTTCAATTTTGATGTTTCAGCTCATCTCCAGATTGATATACGATCTTGGAGATGTAAATTAGGACATTTGTGTTTAATATCCATTTTTTTCCATTTAATATCACATTTACATTTAAAAAATGAGAACATTGTTACACTTTTAAAAAATTATAAATTAAAAATGATAACTAATTAAGGTGATACATTAAACTAAGATTAGTGCATGTTACGTGTTTTTCAGTGTAGGGTTAGGATTAAAGTTACACATCTGTTATTTCAGTGTTTTTTGTCTTCTTAATAAATCAGCAAATCTGTGTTTTGTTTTGTCCATTATGAGGTATTGGAGTGAAGACTGATGTGAAAATTTCTTTTAGGCATTTTAGCATTCCCATTGATTCATATGCGCTTTATGGATTAAAAATAAATCTACAAATCATCAAGAAGTACAAAAGTGAGTGCAGATCCTGTATTTTTAATTTGAAGTCATTACAGTTTTTATTGATCTATCCACCCTGGTATTGTTTGAGCACAGTAATAATTTCAAATTTTTTTGATTTCTTGGCATCTTAGCACAAGGCTGCAAAATGATAAAAAAAAAAATGGGTCTGAATACTCTGGGCACAAGTTCAGCCTTAAGAACAGACTATACAACAAAAGTTAAATAAATAAATAGTTACAAACCAACTAGTAATCTGCTAGTAGGACTAGTCCTGATCCCCGAAAACATTTCTATGCCAGTTTAAGGAAGACTTCACAACCTGTCCCTCTTCATCTAGATTTAGTGTGCATCACTGCTCAACACAACACACACAATCAGACCTGTCCTCTCACCTGACTGTAGGTTGCTGGTTGGGTCAGAGCTTGATTGGGTTTGTTATTCCTGCTGGATGAACAGAAAGGAACACTCATGTTACTAATAATTTTTTTTATTATCATTATTATGAGTATCATTACTAAATCAGGGCATACATACTGTACATCCATACAAATGTTGTACAGATCCTAGTGAAGTGTGTGTGTGTGTTTCACCTGGGCTCTGTGCTGCTCTGAGGTGTGTGTGTAGTGGTGATGGTGGCGATCTTCTCTGCGTTGGTCAGTAGCGATGCGTTTGACGTCTCTGTTCGGGCAGAGAGAAAGACAGTTGTTTTAAAAGCACTGCTAAATCACGTTGCAGTACAGAAAGTGCGTGAAATGCAGCTACAGGCGGCAGTCATCGAGGTCCGAGCATGTGAGGAGAACACGAGCAAAACATACAACCCTGAAGGGAAAGATGCTGTGGATTCATCTGTACCGTTGACCAATATCTGCTGGCTTTCATGCAGCTGCACGGGTCGAGACTGTACCGCAACGCAACAGAAGCTGAAATCTGATGGGGCTTCAGATTGTTCTAGGTTTTGTGATGTTTTGACCATGCATCTTGACTATTTTTCATTCGTTGTGTCTGGACCAGTGTTAGGGTTAGGGTCACTGATCTGCTGGGGTACTGTATCATCTCTAGATACAGGCATACTCCAGAATTCAGATTCTAGGCCATAAGCCACCTGAAATATGAGCAAAAAAGTAAATGAATTCATCACAGCACCACCTTGTGGCTAATTCTTGTAAAAATGGTAGAACATATCATATCTATATATCTGCATGTACATAAACATTTGAGCTGCGCACTGCCTGATCTCTGACCTCCCTACCATCTCTGTGTGTGTTTACCCATGATAGCCTTCTTAAAATCAAAACAGTCATCTTGAATCAAATTGCCCATGAGAATTGCATGCGTTCATGTGTGAGAGTTCAAAATATCCTGATGTTTTTTGATGATTGGTTTAAGGCTGTTGCTGCTTGATCAGTCACTGTCCTCTAAACAGCATTCACAATAAACAGTCAGAGCATCTTTCACAGAACTGGATGGTATCATCAATATGTGATGATCCTATGAATACATTAGATTTTACTGAAACAATAAAACCAAAGTATAAAGCCACAGGTGAATCCTGTCAGAACTGTAATCGTCCAGAACAAACAGTAGAGGCGTGAGAGTTTAACAAAATCATTTAGTTTATAATCATTTCCATAAATGGCATAATTGTAAGAATAATTGTAATAATTAAAAAAAAAAAACAATGTAATTTGGATATAAAATACTGTAAAGTTTTGGGGCATAAAATAGAATTTAGGGAAATACATGAACTTTACCATTTGTTTCGATTTCCGCCATTTTGAACTGTCAAAAACACATTAATCCCCAAATTAGGATCAGGCCATTTTAAAACATTTTTTCAGTTCCTTACAGCTTTTTTGATATTTGAAAGTGTTGGTGTGTGGTGCTAGAGGAGCCCAAACAAAACTCCAGTCCTGCGGCGAGAGTCTGGAGACTCCAGAGAGACTCCAGAGATCTCTGTCTGCTGCGAGAAACCCTGCAGCGTTACTGAGAGGGACGATGATTTCCAAACTCACCGTCTCCGGGTATGATGCGCAGCGAGACGGCGTTGCCGGCCTCTTTGATGAGGTTGACGATGTCCGAGTGCGATTTGTTGGTGATGGAGCAGCCGTTGACCGCCAGGATCCGATCACCCACCTTCAGCTTCCCGCAGCGGTCAGCCGGACTGCACTCGATGATCCGGCCTATTTTATGTGGCATGGCCGTGTTCCCCGCTGTGTGTGTGTGTGAGTGTGTGTGTGTGTGTGTGTGTGTGTGTGTGAGTGT